GTTGTACATTGGGCAGTGCTGAGTGAGGTCCCAACCTTGACCTACAGCCACCTTGGGACGGAAGCAGGAAGTTCACGGAGCAGGCAGAAGTGAGCCACTCTCAGCTTGTACCAATTGCGAATCTAGCCAACATCAGCTGCATTACATCAGCTGGAGAAAGAAGTGGGGCCAAGGGGATTGAAACCAGTGCTCTAGACAGACTCTAGAGCAGTGGTTCTCAACCTTGGCTGCACATTAGAATCACCTGGGAATCTTTTTAAAATCCTGACTTCTGGGCCTCATCCTCCGGAAATTCTGTTTCTTTGTTACTAATGTTGTGGCCCCACCCCATAACAAAGAAACAGAATTTCCGGAGGATGAGGCCCAGAAATCAGGATTTTAAAAAGATTCCCAGGTGATTCTAATGTGCAGCCAAGGTTGAGAACCACTGGTCTAGCGTGTCTATCAGCTATACCTTGATGACTCTGACACATCTCCAGACTAGAACTTCCCCTTTAACTCTAAACTCACATACCCACCTGATTACTGCCTATTTCTACTTGGTTTTCTCCTCAAAACCTGCTCTTCCCATCTTAGTTAATGGCAACTCCATCTTTCCAGATGTTCCTTCCTTCTAGGCCAAAAATCTTGAATCTGCTCCATGTAAAACCCCTCAGCAAATGAAGCTGGCTTTACCTGCAACATGTATCTAAAATCTGATCACCTCTAACATCTTCTACTCCTTGTCCAAGCCCCACTACCAGCACACATCTTGGCTGTTGCAATTACCTCCTAATTGGTCTTCCTGCTCACTCCCTCATCCTATCAGTCTTTTCTCCACCAGCAGCTAGTGAGCCTTTTGTAACGTCAGTCAGATAATGTCACTCCGTGGGGTTTCCTTTCCCCCTTCCCTGCTTTGTATTTCTCCGTAGCACTTATTGCCATCTGACCTCACAATACTTTATGTATTTACTTCATCTATTGTCTCTTTTTTTAAAACACATTTTTAAAATTTATTTTAGAGAGAGAAAGGGAGAGAGAGGAGAGAAAAAGATCGATGTGATCAATCCATTGCCTCCTGCATGCACCCCAACCAGGGATTGAACCCAAAACCTGGGTCTGTGCCCTGACCAGGAATCGAACCTGCCACCTTTTGGTATATGAGACAACGCTCCAACCAACTGAGCCACACCGGTTAGGGCTATTGTCTCTTTCTACTAGAATGAGAGCAAGGATTTTTGTCTATTTCATCCCCGTACTAATCATACTGCGAGGCCTTCTTGATATGTCTCAACACATGACTGGTCTCCATTCTCAGCAACATTAATTGTTAGTTATTATTATGGATGTTGGCCGTCTAGCCAGTCTGAATGGTAAGTTTGTAGCCAGGCTCAAACATACGCCATGAAAAATCATTACAGAACAATTCGAAGGCCATGGGTCACATGATAGAAAGGGAGCAAGCAACAATGGAGGGGATTCAAGGTGAGGGAGAGTCTTTGGGGCATATTGAGAGAAGTGCAACATTGAGATCCTTGAAGGCAAAAGTGAATATTTCAGGCGTGGGAGCATCAAGAGTGAGGAGACAGAGTTACTAATCGCTAATGTATGCCATCGTCCGCTGCTCATTTCGGTCGAGTGGGATGGCAAGAGTAGGATGACTTGGGGTTTGATCTGGGGGGCCGAGTTCCACTCAGCCATGTTCTGGCTGTGGGAGACAGGCAAGTCGCTTAGCATCTCTGACCCTTGATTTCCTCATCTCCAAAATGAGGACGATGATGTCCACCATACTGAGTTGTAAGGATTGCATGAAATAATGTGACAAATGGCTTAGTTGAGGGACACAGACAAGCAGTAAGTAGTACTAGGGTTATTCCTATGACTCCTTGGCCAGGTCACAGGAATATGCAGCAACAAGTGCCTGAGCCCATCAGGAGAGAGCTGTGAATGGCCGGAGGGCTGTACCGAGAAGGAATGGTGAAATGCAGTGGCCAGATAGTGGTGGACACTGAATGCCAAGCCGAAGTGTTGGCACTTAAAGGCCAAGGTACAGGAAGACCTGGAACAGGGAACACAGAACACTCCGTGCTCATGACAGAAGAGAACCCAAAGACCATCGGACCAACGGGAAGGAACAGCCCGCCATTACCCGCCCCTCTTCAGTCCCTGCACGTGTTCCAATCATTGCTCTTTCCTTGTTCCATTGCAGTGACATGTCTCTGTCCCCTGTATCCCCTGGAAGATCCGTGAGGGCAGGGACCAGGAAACAGCCATCCCATCAGAGCTTAGCACAAGGCCTGGCACATAGTAGGGCTCCATCTTAATAATCCAGTAATAACCTAGTGTGTCTGCTGTGGCAATCATTCAAGTGTGTGATGATGAAAGCCTGGGTGGGGAGAGCAGGGTCAAATCATAGAAAACCTGCCCTGGCCGCTGAGGCTGTGGCTGAGCGTCATTCCATGCACTCAAAGGTCACCAGTTCGATTCCCAGTGAGGGCACATGCCCGGGTTGCGGGTTCAATCCCCAGTAGGACTGTGCAGGAGGCAGCCGATCAATATTTCTCTCTCTCAAATCAATTTAAAAATTTTTAAAAAATCATAGAAAACCTGGAGGGAAAGGCAGCAGTGGTTCTTTTTACGTAGAAAACAAGAAGACGTGCAACCCGGGCCAAGAGGGAGAATCTGAGTCCCAAGTCTGCTCTCGGATCTGTGTCCTTGGGTAATTTTTAATCATTTGTTGGAACAAGTGGTGTGCATGTCAGGAATGGGGGCAGGTAGTCCACGAGGTAACAGATGGGAACGCAGGCTGAGCACTGTAAAGCTTCGAACCCAAGCTCCACCACCCAGTAGCAGATTGAGCACGGACATGTCATTTGCCCTCTCCGAGGCTCAGTTTAATCTGGAAAATGAAGATGATAACGTCTGCTCTACCTTCCAGGGTTGTTGAAGAGATCTGTGGGGGCTAAAAAATATATTAATACTTTTCCTTCCGTCTCTAAGTTCTTCAACAGATTAACAGGAGAAAGTCAAAGTTTAATACAGGTGCACGGGGAATTCACATAGGCATGAAAATTCCCAAGCCAGCGGGGCAGCATGGGTATATAAGACATTTTGGATGAAGAAGAAAGGGTATTAGACTTCAGAAGTGAGAACGGGTGACTGAGGAAGAGTAGAATACACGTGGCAGGAAAGTCCTTGATAGGCCTCTCCAACAAGGGACACAGGGGGTCTCTAGCTGACAGGCCGCTGCCTAACGTCCTCCTGTTTACCGTACTTAATTCAAATTAGGCTAAGGCAGCAGCCCAAGATCGCCTTTTTGGAGCAGGGTTCTCTGTCTGAATCTTTTGGGCAGGAAAGGGTGAGGGTCAAGGGTTCTGAGTCTTTGGTTTCTGAATAAGCAGCTTAAAATCAATGTCCCAAAAAGCAGCTTCAGGGTGGCAGAATTTTGGTCCCTTCAGACCACATAGATTGTGGATATTCGAATGCTTTGCCAACTGCCGAGTGTTTTGAAAATGAAAGCAGTGTCACTAGTATGGCTGCGATTATTTCCCCCATCCTACCCAGTTCTCTATTTAAAATTATGAAGGGACTGGCTTTGAAGGCTCAAACTCACTTCACAAATGTTTATATAGGTTTTTTCCTTCCTCTGTTAAAAGGAGAAACAATGATCTGGGGTGGCTAGGTAAAAGTGAAGGGGGGGTGGGGCACACACACACCAGTATGCAACATTACAGATATACCTTGGAGATGTGAAAATACATACACATTTGGGGGTTGGGGGGAGATCGATGGGAAAGCCACCCAAAAGGCAGTTACTGTCTTACTGCCTGAAGGTGCTGGGCAGTGGGTTGGGGATTTTGGTGAGATGCAGAGCTGTTGCCTTTCAATGATTGAGAATGTGGCTATGCTGCTTATCTAACAAAACACAATCAATGAAGCAGGCGGAGGACGTACACAGGGGAGGAGGTGGAGAGCACGAGGCGCCCCTCCCCTTACGCCAAGGCAGCCCCCTGAGGCGCCTTCTGGTGCCCTTCCAATGGCTTCATTGTACGAAAGGGGAAATGACTTGTTCAAAGTCATAAAGCAGGTTAGTGGCAAGCTGGAAGGAAATGTGGACACCCACACACACGCATGCACACACGCACACATGCACGCACGCACGTATGCAGGTTTCCAAACTGCCCTGACCTCTCCACTCATTCTATACCACCCTGCCGCCTTTCCCCCCTCTACTCACCCCTTCGCTTTTCCTCTTCTGCTGCAAAAACTAGAGCTACCCTGGTCTGAAGTCTCTCAACAGCCTCGCGCCCTTCCTCTCCCTGTCTGAGTGATAAATCCTGCAGGACAGTTCGTTCCATTCAAGCCCTTCACACTCTCCTTTGAGTTAGCTGGGTGGTCGCTTAGCCAAAGCTGAGGCTGCTGGCCCTTCCTTCCACTTAGCCTTCCCCCAGGAGTCCGGGACTCCCCGCGAGCCAGGCATTCGCCTCCAAAACAATATCGAGATATGACACGGCCCTCCCAACCCCCTTCCAAGGCCAGACCATAAAATAAAGCCGCATGGGCCTTGCGCCCCTGGACAGAGTCCTTTGTCTGGATTGGAAACAGCCTGAAAAGATGAAAGGGCCTCCCAGCTGACCTCTTCACCTCTTGTTATCTTGTGCCCACTCCCCTCGGCCTCTCCGAGGTAGGCGGCAGCTTTTTCCCATGGTCACTGGGGTTAACAAGCCCGAGCAGCTAGTGGAAGGAGGAATGTGAGGAATGCACCTGCCTAAGGGGCGATCATTTTCCTCAAGGACAGGCCGAAATGGATAATGAGGTCAAACACAAACGCCATCCCTTTCTCAAAGGACTCTACAGAGAGGCTATTAGATATAGTTCATTAGCTGTGGGGGAGGGGGGAGAGGAGAGAGCTACGTTTTAGACTGCTGTTTGAAGAGAGATGAAGGTATTGTGCCAACTTGAGATTTTTCTCCAAGTCAGTGGGGAGCTACGTTTAGACTCAGATTCAAGTTTTTACATACCCGGGTTTCATTCAGGTATGGGCGACAGGTGACATCCTGCACACAAGGCAGAGATTTGCGAGAAAATGTAAGATAATAATACACTCGGTGTCCACAGTCAAAAATAACAGGACATCGAATTTGGAAAACAGAAAAAAACAGAATTTACATGTAAAATATATTCATCATGTGTTAGTGTCTTTATAAAATGCACCCTTTTCATTATCATCATCACCCTAATTCAGGGACGTCATCCCCACCCCTCACCCCCAGACTTTATCATAACTTGCAAACTGGAATCTCTGCTTCTAAACCTTCTCCCTTCCAAGTCCTCCTACAGCCAGCACAGGCTCATCTTAAACTGGACGCGCCCATGGCCTGTTCAAAACGGGCACAGCTCGCAGAGACGGAAGGTGAAAAGGTGGGTGCTAGCACAGTGCCCAGACTGAGTAGACACTCCTTTCCTATCCTTTTTCTTTAAATTTTGTAAAATTGATTTTTAGAGAGAGAGAGAAACATCGATGTGAGAAACTTCGATCGGTTGCCTCCCACACAGGCCTTGACCAGGAATGGAACCCACCACCTTTTGGTGCATGGAGTGAGGCTACAACCAACTGAGCCACCAGCCCTGGCCCCTCCCTTTGCCTTATATCACCATAAAATGAAGTCAGACTCTCCACATGGCATTTGAGGCTCTCCAAAATCTGAACCTAAATAACTTCCAATCTGTAACATCCCCATTGCACACACACCCCCCAACACACACACATATATTTAAAGCACCACTTTCCAGTAATAACCCCGATTTGGCTAACTTGGTCTCAAGGCAAATGCCTTTGGCAGGAGCAGTGGCACAATAAACTCTTCCGAGTATGTTTCGTTTCTTCTTTAGGTTTAATTTTCTCATGAAAAAGAAAAAGGAACTTTAAAAAAGGAACTTAGGCTGGCTCAGGTTATGCAGAATTACTTGTTGACCTCCCAGAGCGCTCATGGGACGGGAGGGGGCCTGGATGTGCACACACAGACACAGCTGCGAAAAGCACACCCTTAAAAAATCTACAAAGAAAAGGGAAAACCTATGGGGACGTAGAGTGCAGTAATTGAGAGTGTAGGTGCTTCCTAACCTGGGCCAGTATCTTAACATCTTTCTAAGCCTCAGTTTCCCCACCTGTACAATGGTGTGGAGAATGCTCACCTCTTCAGGTTGCTGTGTTAAAAAAAGATGTGTAAAAAAAAAAAAAAAAGATGAGCCCTAGCCGGTTTGGCTCAGTGGATAGAGCGTCGGCCTGCAGACTGAAAGGTCTTGGGTTCAATTCCAGTCAAGGGCATGTCCCTGGGTAGCAGGCTTGATCCCTGGCCCTGGTTGGGGTGCCTGTGGGAGGCAACCAATTGATGTGTCACTCTCACATCGATGTTTCTCTCTCTGTCTCTCCCCTCCCTTCCATTCTCTAAATATCAACAGGGGGGAAAAAATAAAAAATAAATAAATACCAATGGAAAAATATCCTTGGGTGAGGATTAACAAAACAAAACAAAAAAGGAGATGTGAGTAAACACTTAGCAGACTGCCTTGGCGCATAGTAAGTTCTATAAATGTTAGCTTTTTTTTTTTTTAATATATTTTATTGATTTTTTACAGAGAGGAAGGGAGAGGGATAGAGAGTTAGCCAGAGGAAATGTGGATCTAAATGAAGGAATGAAATGGCAGCTGTATATATAGCATTTTTTATTATTTTAGTCTCTTTAAAATATGATTTATTTTTTAAACAACACTGTATTTTCAGGATAGGTAAAAATGTATGACAAAAGTAGCATAAAAGCTTAGAGAAAGAAGTGGAAGAGTATTATTAAAGATTCTTATACAATATTATACATTGCTATGTAACACCTAAATGTATACTATAATAAGATATATACTATAAGAATAACAGTACTCTAAAATAATTTAAAATATATATTAATAGTAAGATCAGGTGTAAGACAAGAAAAGAAGTAAAAATATCTTTAGTCACAGATAATATGATGGTCTGTCTAGAAGATCTGATGGAATCAGGTAAAGAGCTACTAGAACTACTGAGTTTATGAAGATTATCCTATCTAATAAAAGAGTAATATGCAAATTGACCATCACTCCAACACACAAGATGGCCACCCCCATGTGAACACAAGATGGCTGCCACAAGATGGCTGGCAGGGGAGGCAGTTGGGGGGAACCAGGCCAGGTGAGGAGGGCAGTTAGGGGTAATCGGGCTGGCAGGAGAGGGCAGTTAGGTATTGATCAGGCTGGCAGGGGAGTGGTTAGGGGGTGATCAGGCAGGCAGGCAGAAGCAGTTAGGGGCAATCAGGCAGGCAGGCAAGCGAGCGGTTGGGAGCCAGCAGTCCCAGATTGTGAGAGGGATCAGGATCGGGCCTAAATGGGCAGTCAGACATCCATCAAGGGGTCCCAGATTGGAGAGGGTGCAGGCTCACCTGAGGGACACACACCCCTGTGCACGAATTTCATTCACTGGGCCTCTAGTCTATCTATATAAAAAGCCAGCAACCGAAACAGCCATAATGACCATAACGACCAGTCACTATGATGCTCACTGTGGCCAGCGAACCAGCCCAATCAGGGGGTGGGACCACCAGCCAACCTTGCAGCCCCTTCCCCCATCAGCCAGCCCTTGATTGGACTCTCCCACTCTGATTAAGAGCAGATCGCCAGCCAAATACCCCCTCCCTCCCCACAGCCAGTCCCAGCCCCAATCAGCTCGCCCCACCACGATAGGCCCACAGCCCCGTCTGCACCTGATAGCACCCCCGACCCCAATAGGGAGTGGGGCTGGCCAGCCAACCTCCTGTAGCCCCTCCCCCCAGCTGGCCATTCCCCTGATGGACCCCCCAACACCTTGATCAGCCTGAAGCCCCTCTCCCTGGCCAGCCCCATTTCTGATTCCCCCCCACACCCCAATAGGGGTCTGGGCCAGCCCGCCAACCTCCTGCAGCCCCTCCCTCCACCTGGACCCACTCCAGATCAGCCCTCCACCCCATCAGGACCAGGGCCAGCTGACCAACCACCCATGGCCCCTCCCTCAGGCTGCTGGCCCCCAATTGGCAACCCACACCCCATTCAGGGGTGGTGCTGGCCAGCCTACCACCCATAGCCCCTCCCCATGGCTAGCCCCAACCCCAATAGGCCCCCCAACCCCAAACGGGGGTGGGGTTTACTGGCCAATCACCTGTGGCCCCTTTTCCCAGCCAGCCCAGCCCTGATGGGGCTTTAATAGGGGCGGGTCAGTGGGCCAACCTCCCACCATCTCCTCCCAACAGGCGCAGCCCTGATCCACCCTGATTGGGGTGGGCTGGCTGGACTCCACCAGTGCATGAATTCGTGCACTGGGCCTCTAGTAGAATATAATTCTTTTACTCAATACTAACATCAAATTCAAAACTATAATGAAAATATCCTTCAAAATAGCACAAAATATGAAATATTGAAGGATAAAAATGACCCAAGATATGGAAAACCATCCACTGAAAACTAAAAAGTTATATTTTTAAAGACATTAAAAGCTATCTAAATAATTAGGGTACTATCCTGTTCATAAGTCAGATAACTATATTGTTAAAATGTCAGTCCTCCCCAAGTATATCTATGTATCAGACAAATTCCAGTGAAAATTCCAGCAGACATTTGGACAAAGTGAAAGCTGATTTTTAAACTTAAACAGCAATGCAAAAGACCTAAAGTAGCTGAAACAACTTTGACCAAGAAAAATAAGGTGGGACAACTATGAACATGACCTGATTTCAAGACTTATTATAGAACTCAAATAATCAAAACAGATGGCATTGACATAAAGTAGACAAACTGATAAATGGAACTGATAAGTGAAATAGGCCAATGAGAGAAAGACAAATATCACATGATCTCACTCATATATGGAATCTAAAGAATAAAATAAACTGATGAACAAAATAGATCCAGAGACATAGAAGCATGGAACAGACTGTCAAATCTCAGAGGGAGGCACAGGTGAGTGGCTGGGTAGGTGGGAAGAGATCAATCAATGAATTTATAAGCATATATGTATAACCCATGGACACAGATAATAATGAAGGCCTGGGGTGGCGGGCAGGTACAGGCTAGAAGAGGTCAATGGGGAAAAAATGGGACATCTACAATCCTATATAATAAAAGCCTAATATGCTGAGTATCCAGTCGACTGGTCAGCTGTTCAACCAATTAAACCATAATATGCTAATGATATGGTAAGATCACTCAACCGCTCGCTATGATGTGCACTGACTAGAGCTCCAGGAGATAAAAAATGGGGTCCAAGAAACTGCTTTTACCAAGCGTCTCAACTGCTATTGACCTTCCAGTTTTAATTCCAACTAACAAGGTGATACAATAATGCTGTGCACGTTACTATTAAATCAGCAACACTGAAATAGGTTTAGTAATATATGTTTCAACATCTGTTAAACTTAGGGACATCTCAGCATCTGCTAAAGGTTATTACCACATTGTTGAAAGAAATCCATAGACAAAAAACAGGAAACCATCTATGTATGTTGTGATAATTATGAACCAACTAGAGGCCCAGTGCATGGATTCATGCACCGGTGGGGTACCTCAGCCTGGCCTGCACCCTCTTGCAATCCAGGACCCCTTGGGGGATGTCAGTGGCCTGGTGCATGGATTCGGCCCGGTCCCCGCAGGCACCAGGCCTCTAGTATGCATATAAGATCTTTTCTTAATCTCTTCCCACCCCACCCCCTATCCTGTTCCATGTTTCCATGCCTGTGTATTGAGTTTCTGCCCCCTGGTGGTCAGTGTGTGTCATAGCTATTGGTCAAATGGTCACTTAGGCCAGTGGTCGGCAAACTGTGGCTTGTGAGCCACATGCGGCTCTGCGACTTCTGCGCATGGTCCACGAAGTTTCAATTGCACTGCACGTGGTATTTTGTGGAAGAGCCACACTCACGGGGCCAAAGAGCCGCATGTGGCTCGAGAGCCGCAGTTTGCCGACCACTGATCTAGAGTCTAGATTCTAGACTGATACCTGCACAAGTTCTTTGCCGGCTCTCTGTGGAACAAGCGAGACTCCAATTCCCTGAGCAGGGGAGCTCACTCGGGCCTTTGTACCTTTGCGCCAGCTCCTCTCTGGGTTTGAAATGTTACTCTTCTCTCCTCTTATCTCAAGACTCCGCTCAAAGGACACCTTCCCAACCAGCCCTCAGGCCCCGCCCAACAGAATTATTTCCTCATTCCATTAAGGAACCATAGCTCTGGGATAGCATTTTTCATATCGTATATTAATGGCTTGCTTATGTGTTGGTCTCTGGAGTTAGAATAACTTTCTTGAATATTCATTTTGGAATTCCCAGCATCCAACACAGTCCCAAATCTGACCTGAAAGGAATGGCTGGCCCCTGAGGGTATCTGTACGGCCTCACATCGGACTCACCTGACCTCCCAGCCCGCAGACCCCTATCCACACTTGTTTGAGAAGAATCACCACTCCTGGTGGATTCCTGCAACCTAACAGGGTAGGAAAAAATGACAACTGGTTATTTTGACTTTTTGTCCAGTAGCCACGAAAGACACAAATAACCCTGGTTCTTCTGCTGAGCCCCAATCCCGAGTGTTCCTTGTAAGAGAAGGAGTCAAATTCAAGGGTACCGTCTGTGGTCTTAGAATGGGACAAAGATATTGGGTCCTCACAGAAATAAAGCCAATGACCGCAGTCTCGGCGATCGCCCCTTACATGGCCATCCCCGGGATTACGCAGACGCAGGAGGACTGGGAGCGCGTTACAGCCAGGGCCCCGGCAGAGCTCCGGGCTGCCAGAGACTTAAGGCAGGGTAACTTGAGGGAGGTGATGTAAGGAATGAAGCCTGGTCTCCAGTCAGATTTGGGTCACTAGGAACTCACCACTCATTAGCTACGGATGACAAATTTGTCAGCCTCGGAGCCTTGTTCCTTCCTCTGCACTCTGGGGATGATACCCTAAGTCAGAGCATGCAGTCAGGAAGATTAAATATGACAATGTGAAGTTTTGTGGACCAAAAAAAGGGGGTTCTGTGGGAGGGCACCTTACAAGGTGATGTGATCGCGAATTCCTAACTGGGCAGGTCATGGTGGGTAGTCATGCCCCGGGCCTATGACTTCTTTAGTGAAAGATTTTAAACCAGCCCTGTCCATTGTACTTCTGCCTCTAGGTTAACACACCTTTGAAATATCAGAAGTAGTACCCTCAAGAGAGTATATAATCTTGTTAACTATCCTATAATCCAACCCCCACCTTGGTTTTCCTCACCTCCATGTAAGCTTTACATCTCCTTAATTTCAAATGCATAAGAGAAACTGCAAAACTGCTATTCTCCACAGCACGTGAGAGCTTGCTCCCCGAGTATATGTTGTCAATTTGGCTCAAATAAACTCTTATAAAAATTCTTCGGAAGACCTGAATAGACATTTCTCCAAAGAGGACACACAAATGGCCAAGAGACATGAAAAAAATGCTCAAAGTCACTGATCATCAGGGAAGTGCAAATTAAAACCACAATGAGATATCACTTCACACCTGTCAGAATGGCTATCATCAATAAATCAACAAACAAGTGCTGGTGAGGATGTGGAGAAAAGGGAACCCTCGTGCACTGCTGGTGGGAA